TTCCTCCTAAAAGGTACCCAGATGGTCTGACATCATCCCAGATGTCTCCAAGGCAGCAATTTGACCCAAGAAAGGGCTGAAGGCTCACAGCTCTCCCATGGGAGTGTCTCTTCCCATGCTTTGCTCCACTAGCGTTTAAGCAAAGTGAGGTCTGTCAGACCTAGCCCCAAGGGCCAGGTATAGAGGTGACAATTCACAGCTGAACTGGAGTGTAGCTGAGGGAGTTCTCCTCTTCCTGCTGTTGCTGGGGGTCATACAGCCCCAAATCTTGCCATGATGCAGGGCACTTAGCAAGCAAACACCAGAAAAGCAGCAGTTGTGTTGCATGTCCAGCTATTCGTGTGGAGGTGACAATGAAAACCAGAGCGGTGAGTGGGAGCTGGCTTCTCTCTGACCTTGTAGGCTGGAGAAGACACTATCTGCACGTCAGCCATTTAGACAGCATGAGCCCACCTTCAGAATCTCATTTCTGAAGCACAGCCATGGTTGTCCCACTTCTCCTCAGCTGTAGGCCATGACTCTTCTGCTCTAAATTTGGGGAGCAATATTTTGTAGCCCTGGAGGTGGCTCTTTCAAGCCTTATGTTCCAGCTGTGCTGACAGCTCATTCACCAACACAGCTTTTCAACTCAAATGCATTGGAGTGGCAATTCTATCTCCACCTTTCCACTCAATTTCATCCATGCTAATTTAAGGGAAACAGAGGACTCTTTCTCCACTGAGTTTTCCACTTTTAAATCCTGATTAAAAACTTGTCTGACAGCTACAAACCATTACCACTTGGCAAAAATTGATTTTTTTTTCAGCTGTCTTCTGTTGCTATTTCCTGACACCCTTTTCTTTAATCCCTGCTCCACTCTCCACACAAAAATGCATCTGCTCAGGCAAAAGCTTTGGAAGAAGTGTTTCACCTTACAGCACCTGGCACAAGGGCGCTGAACCCCTAAATTGGGTTTCCTTAGTGCAAGTGGGTTAGATTTGTACCCATCTTATCCCCAAAATGAAAGAATGTCATATGCACAGCTGTGGAGGAGTGAAAGAAGGGAAGAAATGGTTAATTTTCTGCCTCGAAGGAGAGCGCCTTTGGCACGAGTTTCAGTGCGATGACTCACCAGGGCCAGGCAGGACTGGAAGTGCAAAGACCCCATGAGCAGCTTGGGAATCCCACGGCAGCCTCACTCCTTGGCTTCTCGGAGCCAGGAGAAGTTCCAGCTGTGGCCTTACAAGGCCAGAATGAGAAACCTGCTGCTGCCATGTCGCCACTGAAGCCGCTGCCAGGCATTCTGTGCATGAAGAGCTCCGCAAATCCTTGCCTGGGGCTGGTGGAGACTGGAGGGGAGGGCTGGGCACCAGGAGCACTCAGTCATAGCTGTGTGTGTACGGACTTCAAGCAGTGCACTTTTACCAAAATATTCTCCGCACTTAAAGTTGCTTTTGCCTGCCAGCTCCTGGATCATGTCCAACCCTCCAGAGGGAAGTCACGTCTCTCACAGCCCATTTATGGGTGAGGGATATTGGTGGCAAAGTGTCTGTTGCCGCTGTGTGAGGACTGCAGTCTTTAGTGTAGACCTGGAGGTCCTTATGAGCTGGGAGGAGAGATGGAAACACACAGGATGAGCCAGGCAATTCAGAGCACTCTGAGAGGTGGAGAGCCAGTCTAGCTTCTTTTGGCACCACTAAGCACTGTAGTGCTCAGGACTGGGCAGGATTTGCTCCTGAGGTGAGTCCCCACCTTTGCCGTAGTTTTGCTGCTCAGACTTCTGGAGACGCTGCTGGGAGACAGGCACTTCCAGACAATGACTCAGCCCATCCTAAACCCCATCCAAAGCAGATGGGATGGATTACTCTCTGGAGGTGTCTTTCCTTGCCTGGAGAGGGATTAGATGCAATGCCCAGCTTTCTGATGACTGAGTTTGGAAAGCTGAATCCCACCCTTCGTTTTTGCTGAGGATGAGGTAAAAGCTACAGGAGAATGAACCATATGGCCTCCCTCTTTCTGTTTGCTTTGGAGCAAAACCATGTACACGTACACACACTTGTACATGTGTTCGTATGAATATATATTACACAAATTCAAAGTAGTTTGTTGGTTTTTTTTTAAAATCTGCTAAGACAAGCACACGATAGAGATGCCAGAATCCAGGCTGTCTGTGCATGTGCATGAAAATATGACAGAACATTTTCCTGGGAAAAACTGACTCAAACTCCATGGAAATGACTTAACTGTGACAAAAATAAGAGACAAAAAAGGAAAGGGAGAATGAAAGAAGGGGAGTGAGAGATGGTCCCAAACCCACATTTGACCCCTGTATGAGGATGTGGGGAAGTGCTGTGTTTTCTAGGAAATTCTGCTTCGGTTCTCTCCTGACTCCGCTGCATTTCTAGCTTGGATGCTGTGTACACGCAAATGACGCTGCTACTCTGCGTTGCTTCTCTTTTTCTTTTCCTTTTCTTTTGGCTGAACACAGGCAAAAATGTCAAAAGGAATTTCTGAGCATGCTGGAGGTGAGGTGCAGTCTCTCTGCAAGAAGGCCAAAGCAAGATTATTTTTTCTCTTGCCTTGTTGTCAGAAACAACAGAGCTGTTTGGGCCCAACAAATCCCTCTGAGAAAAGTGCAGTTTGACAGAATTGCAAAATACTGAAAAGTGGCATTTTGTAATGGGAAAGGTCAAACGATGTTAATTATAATCAGAGCTATAATATGGATAATGAGATTTGGGGAGTTTCCCTCCAAATCATTGCTTCTAGGCACCTCTGTTTCCCTCCTTTGCCTATCCCGGGGGTGAGTGAAAGAGGGGATGTTGCACATGGGGAAATGTTGTAGTCTCATTGTTTCTTGCTTTAACATCCTGCCCAAAATTTCCTCCAGCAGAGGTTGGCGTGAAGGCTTGATCACGCCGATACAGGACAGAAGCCTCTCCATTTTCACTTTCTGCCAACTTTGATCCCATTTTTTGAGTGACAAATGCCTGGGCCAACTCTTGTTGTCATGAAATAAACCCAAGAGTCCTTTTCTTCACTGTGTGATTGCTGCTTTGCCCTGCTACGTGTGCATGAGAGATGGTTTGGCTTACTGGATCAAGAGCTGGAAACTCCAAGTTCTGGAAAGCTCTTCATTTGTGGTCTTGGCATAATTACTAAAGTAGTCTGTGCATTGGTTTTCACTTCTGTAAAATGAGGTTGTGAATGTCTGAGTGTCCCTCTGAAGGGTGATGCATTTTTACAATACAAAGACTATTGTAAAAGAGGAGATGAGAGAGCATAAAACCTTCCCCTTTCAAATAGCTGCTATTCAGCTTATCTTAGCAAGTTCTCTATGGACTGTTAGAGTGGGGACACAGCCTTCATGCTAGGGGCAGGCATTCATCTTCTTGAAGGTTTATTTAGTACACATCATCATGTGAACCTAGTGGAGTTCTCCCCTCCTCTTGGAAAGAGCCTCTTCCACCAGCATTTGGTTTAGTATTCTTGTATATGAAACATTCGTAAAATGCATGGTGATGAGACATGGAGCAATGTTCCAGTGAAGCAAATGGAGGAATGAAAGGGAGGAAGGGAAGGACTCCAGACCTGGCTCCAGTATGTTTGAAGCTATGGGAAATATTCTCCTTAATTTCAGATGGACTGGAAGCCAAGTCACCAGCTGGGAGGATGAGAGATTCCACTGTGATGGGTAATTTGTTTGCAGTTGCATCATTGCATCATCACCTTCAATGCAGAATCCAGGGGGATACTGATGACACAGCTTGGTCACTCCTTTGAGCTCCTTCCCAAATTGTCTTTACATAGTAACATCAGGACTAGAAACATGTGGTTTCCAGCACTGCTGAATACCTTTTGTATTTCTCCTAGACAGGCCCTTCATGTATTTCCCTGACAGGCATGAATCAAACCTTTAAATACTGATAAATTCACCATATTATTTCGTGCATAGATTTCCCTCAAATTTTCAAGGCTTGGTGGCAGCCAAGAAAGGACGCAGCTCAGAAGCTGCTGACACCTCCACTTATAGATATAGCCTTCCATTCCTCCCATGTGTTTTGCATCCATATATAGGGTTTGTTTGCATGGACCGAGGCTGCTTTTGGGCATCTTCTCTCAGCTGGTCTTACTAAGCTGAAGGTTGTCTCCATGTGAACGCAGCTGCATGGCTGTGAAATCAGAGTTGCTCACACTGGGGAGAACTGGACACATCTGCACTCTTTGTGTTGGCTTATCCTCAGTGGTCTGTCTTTCCCATCACCCAGGAACCTCACTTGCCATGAACTCATCTTAATATCAGATTTCCTCACACTGATTGCCTATATTTACATAGTATGATAAACTGCAGAGCAATATAATGTTGGCATGTTGCTGGAAAAAACAGTATACCTGGGGCAACACTGAATCTGCAGAAGATTCTGCAATGACCAGCCAGCCAGGGCTTTTTTTTTTCATCTTATTCATTTGAACATATTAGCTTATATGTTTGTTAATTGTTGGAACCAATAATTGCTTGGAGTATGTATACACCAGTCAGTATTCTAATTATGAACAGAGCAGTTGCCTCCTTGACATATTTAGAGCTATTTCAATTCATAAGTAACCTTTCTAACCATATGCCACCTATAGCAAGTCTGGAAGCCTTTAGAAGAACTCCATGAGGCATTTGGTATTAGTCAACATTATTCAGTATCCCTTGGTTCTGGACATGGTTTTTCTAGTCAATGGGAGCTTTTATCCTAACTGTCATGCATTACTTCTAAGCTTAGTTAGGTCTAGATATGTGTCTTGCAGCTTTGCAAGATCTTTTGGGCAAGAGTTGTTCTTTCACCTTAGATTGGCATCGCACCTGGCACCATAGAGATCAGGCCTTGACACAGGGAAGGGCATCAGTGTTGTTTTCATGAGCCAAACTGAGAGTGTAGAAATATCTACAAGATCAGTAAGTATCTTAAAAATTAAGATCACTAAAGCAGTGACAGTTGTGCCTACTGGTCTCTTTTCTCTTCTCTTTCTAGACTAAAGAAGCTCTCTTCACAATTCTCCAGGATCTAAGGCCTGAAGACCACTTCAATATCATTGGCTTTTCCAACCGAATAAAGGTCTGGCAGCAGGACCGGCTGGTGCCAGTAACTCCAAATAATATAAGAGATGCCAAAAAGTACATTCATAACATGTCGCCTACAGGAGGTATGATCCAGAGATACAAACGAGATTGATTTTGCTATCCAATTAACTACAACAGAATGGAGAGTAGTGAATGTGGTCCTGTAGCATGTAGCAATAAGAAGACATTTAGGACTTAGGCCATGGGACAAGAGGACCCATTCCCCGCCTCTGCTCAGAGTTATGTGACAGAAGGATATGTGCCCTTCGTCACTGTACGTGATGGGAAGGTGTCTCCACATCCAGTCATAAGACCTGATATATTTATCAAAGCCAAGTTGGGCCCATTCTCTCACTTATCTGGTGAGATCCTTGGAGTGGAAAAGTTCCCAAGGTTATTTCTGGAGGATACAGGAAAAAAATACCGTATCTTGGTGAAGAACACACAAGGTCGGTACTTGTGTAGTTTCTGAGAGTCTGTGTAAAAGCAGGCACGTGGTTTTGTCTGGGCAGGAAACTCCATGGATGGACCATTCAGTGTGGGCTGTAGGACTGCCTTCTGCAAGAGCTGGTTCCTCACCTAGTACTGTCAACTTCTTGTCGCCACCAAGGAGCAGCCAGAATGACATTTAAGAATTTCTTGTCCTTTTTCGCTTGTGCCTTGTTACCAGGAGGAGGAGACCTCAGAACAGTGGCAGAGTGCAGGCATGATTTTGAATTTGATTCAGTGGTCTCTTATGAGGCTACGGATTCTAGAATAAAAAAAAACACAGTGAGGTTTGTAATCAAACGCATTTTAGGCATGATTTTGAATTTGATTCAGTGGTCTCCTATGAGGCTATGGATTCTAGTATAAAAAAACCACAGTGAGATTTGTAATCAAACGCATTTCGGCAACTGTGCTTATCCTAGCTGAGCACTCCCTAGGTAAGCAGAGAGCTGCAAACTGACCCATGCGAATCCTTCCCCATACAAGCAGTCACAGCTGGTTGAAGGTCAGACAGGGCCTTCCCATGGCTGCCCCTGAGCAGTGACCACTCCTAGCAAAGGAAACTCTCTGATGGAAAAACACAGCAAACAGGATGGTTTGCCGTACTGTTTGTATTGTAAGAGGAAGAGTTTAGGAAGTGGTCAAGGTATCTGGCCAGTTTAACAATTACCAATAGTGGGACTAAACTCAGAGTACAAAGCTTTTTTTACTCCTGAAGTGCCAAAAAAGCTGTGCAGGAACCAGCTGAGTTTGCCCATGAAGCTGCCAGAGAACCTAAGTAAAAGGAAATTATTAACTCTTGTTCAGCA